CTACGCAGAGGGAGTGGGTCTGCATAAGGTGAGAAGTGGTCGCTGACTACAGGTGCAGGTGTGTTGCGACCAACCTGACTGAGGGAGTGTGGAATGCATGGAGTACAACACTACGCCGGTCAACGTGGATGTGGGGAATGGCTGAGTGAATACACGCATGCATGCAAAGCATTGGTATGAGGCTAGCGTACACACGCGTAGATGCACTCCATACGCAATCGATGTAGTGCTCGCTATAATTGTAGTACGAGTGTCGGGAGCGTCCGTCGGTGCAGGTGGTGTGTTTGGGTGTACTTGGTATACACCATGCATTACTGACTGATACACACTCCATAAAACGACCATCACGGCAGTCCCTTTTTAAAAGGGCCAGGTGCAGGTGCAGGTGTACTCGGTATACACCATGCGTTGCTGACGGATACACACTCTATAGACAACCATCACGGCAGTCCCTTTTTTAAAGGGTCAGGTGCAGGTGCTAGGTGTACTCGGCATACACCATGTGTTGCAGACTGATACACACTCTATAGACAACCATCACGGCAGTCTCTTTTTAAAAGGGCCAGGTGCAGGTGCAGGTGTACTCGGGGCATACACCATGTGTTGCTGACGGATACACACTCTATAGACAACCATCACGGCAGTCCCTTTTTAAGAGGGCCAGGTGCAGGTGCACAGCATCCTACATCCTTGACCACTGAGCCGGTTGAGCTGTACAAGTGCGCATACCTATCTTTAGGGGGTTGTTGGTTAACAGCCGTATCCTCTTGATGCCCAGATCTTCCAGAATAAGTGCCCCCGGCTCAAAACTTCGGGCGTCCGCCTGCGCAGAGTGAGTGGTGTAAGGACTAATCAGCGACCGATAAACCGGTAATATGCGCACCTACATGACCACAGATATACGAGCATCACATGATACCTCCACGTGGTTAATGAATTGTATAAGGGTGCGTGTACCAAAGCCGGTGACACTCTCGCATAGAATACCTACCTACCGCGGCGGAGAGTTGATTTGTGGACAATACAGATATCACTAATGGGGCTAGGCGGGAAGAGGATTAGAATTATTTACCTACACAGATCTACACAGATAGACCTCGAATTATTACAGGTGTACTACTACAAAGTAACACTCATTCAAGCATGAGTGAATGCATATATACATACACACACACATAGATACATAGATACATAGATCGATACATACATAGGCACATACATGGAATCACAAATATGTACAAGCCACGTACATACTGGATAGAAAAGCACTACAAATAAATACATGCATCTGATACGATACGTATAGATGCAATAGTACTGACGCAAGACTTGTAAGTGTAGGCAAGCACGCGAAAACGTGCACATATAATCAAAGACTCGAAGAGCTTACTGAGGTGCAGATGTACAAGTAGGCAACCACATATCCACACATGCATCTGCGTCAGTTACGCGTGATTATTTCTCACATAATATTCACACAAGGGTGCGCTGCGTTGTGCTGCGTTTCATTGTATTGCCTGTACCTTATGGCCCAGCATTAAGTTCGCTTCCACTGTGTCGTGTCCTTGGTCCTGCAGATTGTATGCCCTGGCACACACATGCACAACAGGTGACAAGCATTGCAACATGAGTACCAGCCCCACCCAGCCAATTCCCTCTCTCTCCTGCCAAGAGGCCCAATAGTCTCTGTGAAGTAACAATCACTGCGCATACATAAAGGCGCGCACATACACTGCAGCAAGATACAGAGCCAAACACATACACAGCTACACCTATCAGCTATATCAGCCCCTCTCGCTTTTTCCGTAGTCTGTGCAAGACACGCTACTCGACCATCACTGTGGTCTGTCTCCCATCAGTTGTATACACCGCACACGAACACCCTAGCATATATATATATATATACACACACACACACACACACACACATATACATATATATAAATAAAGAAACAAATTTAGATATGAAAATAAATATAGATATATACGTGTGCATGTAAACACATAAAGACCGGTCACGATACAATGCACATCGCCCAATTAACCAGGTGCTCTACACAGCCGTCCTCTCCCTTGCACGTGCTGAGACATACTTGAGCTTCTCCTGCAGCCCAATCCCCCGGCCCTCTTGTCGCAGGAACACAACCACTCCTAAGCCTCGCTGGGCAATGTTGTACATGGCTGTGGACAGCTGCTCTCCACAGTCACAGCGTAGACTGCCCAGGACTTCGCCCGTGAAGCACTCACTGTGCACACGCACATACACATCATTGGCCTTTGCGATCTCATCAATGCCGCCGTATATGATGGCCAGGTTTTCTTTGTTTTCCTGGAGCGAGTGAGAGTGAGTGAAAGTGTGAAAGTGTGCACGAGTGAGAGAATGAGAGAATAAGAGAGTTAGTGAGCGAGAGAGAGAGAGAGGGAGAGAGAGAGAGAGCGTGAGTGTGTGAGTGAGGGAGTGTGTGTGGGTCGAACAACCGACAGGTGGGGCAGGTACATGCGTTTGCTTTCCGTCTGTATGATGCCTTTGAGTGTCCGCTACCTTGTTACACCGTGTGACAATTTCGTATTAATATTAATGTGAGTATGTGAGTTGCTTTAGAGACAGCAGGAACCTCACTTCGTACAGAAATAACGAGAGCATGATAATAAAAAGCTCAACTCAGGATGAGGGGACAGGGAGTGCTGAAGCATTGATTCGCAGTAAAAATAAAAACTGACCTACACCTTACTACTCAATATACTCTAGAGAAAACCGACAACAAAAGCTTACACATTTCATAACATACATAAAATATAAAACACGTATACTTGTACACATTTGCAACGTGGTATGCATCAGGACAGAAATGCGCACAAATACAACGGTATATACAAGAATTCATTTTAATATCCGTACATATATAAGCAAAAACGAATATTACGAGGATCGATGAAACGAATACAAATAAACGCAAAAAAGTATATTTGTGTGGTTGCAATATATATATATATATATATATGTGAATGTATAGGTGTATATATATATATACATGTGCAAATATATAAATATATATATATATACATAAATATGTATATATATATACATATACATATATATAATATATATACATAAGTATATATATATATATATACATGCACACACACACACACACACACGCACACACACGCATACATATATATATATATATAGATATACACATATACATGTACATATACACACCCACACCAACAGCAACACCAACACGAACGCCAACACAAATACTAACACCAACTCCGACACTGACACAAACAGACTTCCCCACCCACCCACCTACATACACATAT